TTCACAGTGCTCGGCGACTTTGTCACCACCTGCTTGGAAGACTGGTCAGTGCCAGAAGTATTTTTCTTACCTTATAGAGATCAATAGGAGAGCCAGCCGGAAGTTCAACTGTATTCTTAGCCTTCACTGATGTCTTGGCTTGGCTGCTTTAACCTCCGTATCTCGCACGAAAGACATGACCTCCTTGGTTATCGCGGTTTCACCTTCTCTGTCCTTAGGCAGGTTGATGTTGTAGTCGACTAATCATTATTTTGAACGTTAACCGGGTTGAAGGCAGCATCAAACCGTCTCCTTACATCCGACTGGGCCGAAAGGAGTTTATCTCTAGACGAGAACTTTTAGGAATCTGCCTTCAACATCTTTTTCTATCCCAAATTTAAATTTTTTGTGCTTTATACGAAAATCAGATCTTCTTAGTCGACAGAACGTTTAGTTTAATAAATAATGAATAGTTTACGAACATTCTTAAACAGTTTATAACTTAAAGATTAAATAGAAAAGACTAACGTTTCAAAATGTAAATGTATTGTGAAACAAATCGAGAAAGTCCAGAAACAAAATGCACCCTACCTACTGGAAACCCTTACGGTAACAAACTAATACAATACTACTGTTAATGATGACCTCTAGTTTGTTCATACTATGAAATGAATTTCAAAGACCTTTATAAAGTAAAACGTTAAACAATAATGATTTTCTTTTAAAGTATTCTAATGTCAAGAGTATTTAAAAATCGGCTCAGCTATATGTATGTAACATACTTATTTATAGGAAATATGGACATACCTACAGTTTTATATGTTTCCCTAATTGTCTTTTAGTTATTCTATCATTAAGACAATAAATAACTTGTTATAATTGTATGGTATATGTAAAAATTCTACAATAAACTTATTGTACAAATAAATTCCTGTTTAGAAACCTAAGTATTTACAAAGTAAAATAATATTAATGTTCTGCTTTAATATTTGAAATTATTACAGTTTTTTATCTTCCAAAACAATAGTACTAAAAGATGTATTGCTGATTTCTATTTGAATATAACTCTATATTAATAACAACTACTTCCAGGCGCATTAAAACATTGCATTTGAAATCTAATTAACGTATACATTAAAAAAATCGAAAACATTTTCTATTTTGTTTTTATTTCAAGCCACAAAACAAAATGTTTACAAAACATTGTTTTTTTCGTAAACAGGTAGGTACATACTATATACATATGTATAAAGAAATGTAAATACTTTTAATACTGTACATTAATATTAAAATATTGATTCAGAAAAAAAAAAAAAATTATATAAAGAAAAATCTTAAGCTTTTTTAGAACAAACTCGTGACATTCAATGGCTACTCATTTATGTTTTTTGTTTAATAATTGATGGCAATGTCTTAACTATTGCCAATATGTATTTATGTATAAGGAAGTAAAAGTGAATTAAATAATAAATTAAAGATACTTATAATGAAGTCACTTTTCATCCTAATAAAGATACTTTTCTATACGAAAAGTGTCTTCAAAAGTGAAAACACTTTCTTCCTATACGAAAACTGTATTCAGAAATGAAAATTAATATAATAATTAAAAATATATATTTTAATTATTCTAACAAATACCAGTACTAAAATGACAACTTTATATTTTGCGGTTAAAAGTGACTCAATATGTAAACATTATTATCAGTAATTTTTTTTTAACAAATCATTGTGAAAATTGTGTATATTAATTTGAACTGTTTAAAAACCACACATTTAATTAATATAATTAACAAAAAAAAAAAAAAAAAAAACAAAGGAGACTGGTTAAAGAAGTATAATTTAATTTAATTTTAAATATTTCCTTGTTTGTAATAGTGTAATAGTAAGTTTCAAACTTCATCGATAGAGAACCTTTGTGGACAATTTTGTTTTCAACAGATGGATCGACAGACTGACATTGTAAGATTACTTTAGAAACTATTAAGTTTTAAGAATGTATACATTTTAGTGGGTCTACGAGACTTTCATCATCTTTTATAGACAAAAATTATTCTTCTTTAAAAAGATTTAAAGTAATTAGAATTAGATTCAGCAATTAATCATTTAAACAAATAATTATTCCTTGTCAAATTTTATATAGGAAAGATTTAGTTAAAATGATTCTGCGGAGTTCATCTAATATGGAAAAGCTACAGGTTATTAGAATGAATACAAATTTTAGTCTTTTTTCAATTGTTTTAGAAAACTACAAAAAAATTCTAAAACTATATTTTATAAAGTAATTTGCACTGAAATTCTCTGAAATGCAAAAAAAAAGTATTCTTTATTTTTAGACGATAACAAATCTAAAATTATCTCGCAAATGTTATCTTTATTAAATAAAATATAAACTATGCGCTAAATAATATATAAAAGATTTGATGTGATGATGAATGTGGTAGCGATTTGAAGATAAATCAGCTTATTTTTTAAACCCAACATCATTAATATAGGGATGCTCTTTGTACTGATAATTGTACCAATCAAAAATAATGATAATAAGAATCATCTTAATGACACTGCAAAACCTGACTAACCTAATCTATCTATTTATCTATCTATCTATCTATCTATCTATCTATCTATCTATCTATCTATCTATCTATCTATCTATCTATCTATCTATCTATCTATCTATATATCTATATATCTATCTATTTATCTATCTATCTATCTATCTATCTATCTATCTATCTATCTATCTATCTATCTATCTATCTATCTATCTATCTATCTATCTATCTATCTATCTATCTATCTATCTATCTATCTATCTATCTATCTATCTATCTATCTATCTATCTATCTATCTATCTATCTATCTATCTATCTATCTATCTATCTATATATCTATATATCTATCTATTTATCTATCTATCTATCTATCTATCTATCTATCTATCTATCTATCTATCTATCTATCTATCTATCTATCTATCTATCTATCTATCTATCTATCTATCTATCTATCTATCTATCTATCTATCTATCTATCTATCTATCTATCTATCTATCTATCTATCTATCTATCTATCTATCTATCTATCTATCTATCTATATATCTATTATCTATCTATCTATCTATCTATCTATCTATCTATCTATCTATCTATCTATCTATCTATCTATCTATCTATCTATCTATCTATCTATCTATCTATCTATCTATCTATCTATCTATCTATCTATCTATCTATCTATCTATCTATCTATCTATCTATCTATCTATCTATCTATCTATCTATCTATCTATCTATCTATCTATCTATCTATCTATCTATCTATCTATCTATCTATCTATCTATCTATCTATCTATCTATCTATCTATCTATCTATCTATCTATCTATCTATCTATCTATCTATCTATCTATCTATCTATCTATCTATCTATCTATCTATCTATCTATCTATCTATCTATCTATCTATCTATCTATCTATCTATCTATCTATCTATCTATCTATCTATCTATCTATCTATCTATCTATCTATCTATCTATCTATCTATCTATCTATCTATCTATCTATCTATCTATCTATCTATCTATCTATCTATCTATCTATCTATCTATCTATCTATCTATCTATCTATCTATCTATCTATCTATCTATCTATCTATCTATCTATCTATCTATCTATCTATCTATCTATCTATCTATCTATCTATCTATCTATCTATCTATCTATCTATCTATCTATCTATCTATCTATCTATCTATCTATCTATCTATCTATCTATCTATCTATCTATCTATCTATCTATCTATCTATCTATCTATCTATCTATCTATCTATCTATCTATCTATCTATCATCTATCTATGTATCTATCTATTCTATCTATCTATATATCTATCTATCTATCTATCTATTATCTATCTATCTATCTATCTATCTATCTATCTATCTATCTATCTATTATCTATCTATCTATCTATCTATCTATCTATCTATCTATCTATCTATCTATCTATCTATCTATCTATCTATCTATCTACTATCTATCTATCTATCTATCTATCTATCTATCTATCTATCTATCTATCTATCTATCTATCTATCTATCTATCTATCTATCTATCTATCTATCTATCCTATCTATCTATCTATCTATCTATCTATCTATCTATCTATCTATCTATCTATCTATCTATCTTATCTATCTATCTATCTATCTATCTATCTATCTATCTATCTATCTATCTATCTATCTATCTATCTATCTATCTATCTATCAATCTATCTATCTTGCTTGCATATCACAGATCTTTGAAAGGACATGAAGTAATGTCAGCAATATGTTAAGATCATCTATAAATGATTTCAGTAGTGTCTACTAAGCAAGAGTTCGGCGAATAGCAACATGTCCAAGATCACATAGGCAAAATTCCAAGATAAAGCTACAATACTAATAGGATTCAATACTGTTAGGAGTTTAATAGGTCATAGCCCAACAGACCAGGAAGTTTCCTCCGTATTTTGATTCGAATGAAAAAACTTACGAAACACAATGCATTTAACATACAAATTCGAACATTTATACTTCCGAATCGAATTGCAAGAGTAATCATAGTAGTCAATTGGATCGAGAAGATGAAAACAATGGAATGACTAAGTCAGGCAGATGATTCCAGTAAATAGTTGATCAAGTTTTGAGCTAAGTTACATTTACATGTAAATGCTAAGAATAATAAGTGGAATAAGTGGACTAATTCAGTGCTAGATTGTGATCGAAAATACTTATCTACACTTCTTCATTTCTTGGGTATTAACAGTTTAATTTCAAGTTCATCTTAAAGGAATTCATAATAGCAATAAGGATTATTCAAGTGGACAGGAAAAATAGATATGTATGTAAATAAATGACTCATATTTTTTGTTAAAACAAATAGGTATGTATAATAAAAACAATAAATATAAACTTTTTAAATTTAGTTCGTATAGGTACATAATAAGGGTAAATGTTTAGCTATTTACTTACCGTTATAAACGAAGCGGTTTTGTATTTGTTTTTGTATCCGTTTAAGTTACAATTTTTTTCTTTAACGTTTTAATATAACTTAAAAATTATAAAAAATTGGTATAAAAAAGGTGCTGCTGCAATTTTCTTTTTCTTGTTGTTGTTCTAATTTGTTTTTATATTTGTTGTTGTTGGTGTTTATGCTACTGCTTACTTAGTACAATGGATGCTGCTGCTACTTGCCGTTTATTATTCTTTTAAGTTATAACTTTTTTTCACCGTTACCACAATATACAATGTAAATCGAATGACAATGATGTTTTTTTATTTGCACATTTAGATAAAAATTTGATTTTAGACATAAGAATTCTGTATGGGGTATTAGTAAAAAAAGAAGAATTATTTTGCTTTTCTAGTTTAATATTTCTTTTTTGTTTATTGGTATTATTGTTTAGTTGTTTTCTTTTTTAATTATAGTGAATACAAATCCCTGAAGAAAAAAAAACTACAATAATCTGTAAGAATTAAGAGAAGGAAAATTACAAAAATATTCTGGCATTTAGTTGCACCGATAGGTATTTTGGGGTTATGTTTTTTAAAATAATTATGTATTTTTAATATTGCTGTTGCATTGCAACTTTCTCATTATATTATAAAGTTAAATTTTACGATTTAATACTTGGCAATTAATTTGTGAACAAATAAGATAAACATTTTTTAAGAATATAAAATTGCGTGACATTAGTTTAAAATTATTTTAATGAGAGCTTAATACACACTGTTTTATCGACTAGCACAATAAAGTAAACATTAAAGTGACATTTTGTTTTTTTTTAACACACTTTTTTGCGGAGGGGAGAATTTACCGTTTTCTTTTTTATTAGAATACTTTTTTCACATTCTCTTTTCTTTTTGCACTCTTCTCTCTCACGTTATTATCAACATTGCGCACGAATACACATATTGCAGGGCGAGGTTCCCCAAACGAACAAATAGAAAAAATTATTTCATGGAGGAACATTTGAAAAATATAAAATGTTTAAATATTTTGCAAATATATACTACAACATATATTTTTAACAAATTACTAATTGAATTTAACACTTTAATTATAAACAACTTCATAAATCAATAATTGCAAACTTTACTTCCATTTGTTTTCATCTGTAAGGTTATTTGATTTTTTCTTTTTTTTGAAAAATTAAATCCAATTAGCATTCTTTACTTTTGTTCCCTTATGTATTCTTATTTGCCTTAATTAAAATCATTATAGATTTTACTTCTTGGCAAAACTTAACCGGCCTATACATGTTTTAAACGCCTGTCCCAGCATTTCTATTCATACTCTTGGGAAATGGCAAATAGAAGTAAAGTCGCTCCTAAAATTCGTCGTCCTTTTTTGCTTTTCAAATAAGAAAAAAAAAACAAAAATACATTCACCCCGGCTGTTGACTTTTGTAGTATTTTTTAGTCTTGGCGTTTTTTCTTGTATTCACACTTTTTATATTTTTAAACAGCTATTGTATATTTTTCTTTATAATCTGTTGTTAATTTTAATAGCTCTTTTGTTATTCAATTAAATTTTATTAATATACATATATTTTGTAATTTTTCCATAGTTAAATTCTTTTTTATTATTTGATCACTTTACTTTTCTTTCAATTTTTTTTTAAATTCTTATTTGCATATTCTTATTTTTTTCAACAACACTCTTTTCTTTTTTATTTGCTCTCATTCTCTTCCGCTCTCTTTTTGGTATATTTTATTTTTTGCAGCAGCTCTGCTCCAACATGAACAGCTCTGCTTTGGCGAAAAAAAATGACGAGCCCCAATATAAAGAAAATTTGCTACAAAAAAATTTTCCACATGCTTTATTCTCGCGATTTTCATTAAATGCAATACAAATTTTCATTAAATTCCACTTTAAATATATAGCTTTACATGCCGTTCGTTGTCAATGTTAATATTTGTTTAGTTAGATTGCAAATTTTTAATTTATTTTATTTTCAAATAAGAAATTTTCTTCTTTCATTACCACACACAACACAACGTACGAGCAGAGTTCTAAGTCAGTTAATTTTGCTAAAATTGACGACGTTACTTCATATTTGACATTTCGTATGTATAGCAGTTTTATAACGACGTCATGCAAGTCAACTCTGATATGCCAGTTGTGTTTAATTATTTGTGTCGATAGTACAGTTTACAGAGTTGTATTTTCCAAATGACAAATACTAAACAGTGGTACTGAACAAATTTAAATTAGCCAAATATTGAAAGAAAACACATTATGTAGATTTTTTATAATTATTACAGTATTTCCTTTATTGCCACATTCTTGCCTTTAGATTTTACACAGTTTCTTAAATATTTTTAAACAATTTTCTTTCAAAATATACTTGTTATTTTAATAATAATAAAAATTACTAAAATAAATTCTGTAAAAATATAGCCAAACAAGTTGCCTTTTCTATAAAATTAACAATCAAAACTTAACAAACGAAGATTTAATATAAAAAATATAAAATTTAAAAATTATTTTTATTAATTTAGAATTTTTTCATAAATGAGCGTATATTTGTTTAAGTTTTATATAAGTATACTTCTAAAAATTTTGTTTTACTATTTTGTGTAAACTTTTTAAGTTATTACAATATTTTTGTATAAGTTGTATAATTTTTTTTTTAATTTGTGTATAAGAATATGCCTTGCATGTATGAAGATTTGGAAAAAAAATACTTTTATAAATTTGTTGTTTACATCGCATAACTACAATTTTGATATGTCAAAATATAAATTAAGTTTCAGGACTTTTTTTTATAAAAAAATATATATAAAAATCACACAGGCCAACAAAATTTTATAAAAATCCAATATGTCAACTTTATAATATTGCTTCAATCACTGTTATATCTCCTTATTTCTTCGAGATATCTTAACTTGAAACCATTATAAATTCCAAAAATAAAATATGTATATTGCCTTTTTTTTCAGCAAAAATTTCAATGGACGATAACTCAGTAAATATAAGAGATTTTTATTTTTTTATGTATTTTAATACAAATTTTAACTCCATCAGTTTTTAATAAAATAAAGCCGAAAGTATTCAAAAAGTAAGTTTTTGTAAATGTATAGTTGTTTAAAGCTTTAGGTTAAGATATCACGGAGAAAGAACAACATATAGCCCATATTTTAAAGTCGCGCTGTTATAGCGTCTAAAACATGGCAAAACCCTGATTTTTCAAACATCATAACATGATATCTTGAAAACCTCATGTAATGATTAATTCGGATATAGCATTGCTTTAGAAAAGTTAACTTTGGTTTCTGGCTAAAAATTTGTTGGCTGGTGTTATTTTTTAAATTAAATATATTAATAAATGGTAACTTTTGTGTTAGAGTCAAAATCTATAATTATGTATATGTATATATTATATTTTTATGTAATTTAATAAATTTTTATCTACATCAAGTATATTTAATTACATATATATTTTGGCGTTTATATATTAAATTAACAATAACAAGTTATAATATACTTGTTTTCTTTACTTTATACCTTTTATATCTATAAAATTATTTCCCAAAAATGGTAATTTTAGCAAAATTGTATTTATTTGGCTAAATGTTGTATTTTGTTATCCGGACGAATAAAATAAATGAAAATTAAAAATAAATCAATCTCTAATATGTTTTAGCGTGGGGAGTCAAAAATCCTCAGGTATTTAAAATATATCTAATAATATGTAAATTGCTAAAATCGAATTTAAATCTTTCAAAATTTTAGATTTGTTTTGCTTGTCTATATCTCTAATATCTTACGATATATTTGAATTTGAAATTCCAAGTTATTGATTCACACTTGTCCGAAATATTTCTCATTTTAATGTATTTATCAAATAGAATACGAATTGTTTAAAGAGCATAAATTAAACAAAGGTAATAGGCACAAAAAATGGAGATTATAGTCTAGTCTATATTCTGGTTTATAGTCTAGTCTACAGTTTTCCAGTCTAAGATCCTGTCCATAGACTAGTCTATAGTATTACCCACATTATAGTTTAGTCTATTATCTAGTCTAAAGTCTAGAATATATTTTAGTCTAATCCAGTTTATAGACTAGTCTTTATTCTAGTCTATAGTCTAGTCTTTATTCTAGTCTATAGTCTAGTCTTTATTCTAGTCTATAGTCTAGTCTATAGTTTAGTAGTCTAGTCTATAGTATGGTCTAGTCTATGGTCTAGTCTATAGTCTAGTCTATAGTCTAGTCTATAGTCTAGTCTATAGTCTAGTCTATAGTCTAGTCTATAGTCTAGTCTATAGTCTAGTCTATAGTCTAGTCTATAGTCTAGTCTATAGTCTAGTCTATAGTCTAGTCTATAGTCTAGTCTATAGTCTAGTCTATAGTCTAGTCTATAGTCTAGTCTATAGTCTAGTCTATAGTCTAGTCTAGTCTAGTCTAGTCTATAGTCTAGTCTAGTCTATAGTCTAGTCTATAGTCTAGTCTATAGTCTAGTCTATAGTCTAGTCTATAGTCTAGTCTATAGTCTAGTCTATAGTCTAGTCTATAGTCTAGTCTATAGTCTAGTCTATAGTCTAGTCTATAGTCTAGTCTATAGTCTAGTCTATAGTCTAGTCTATAGTCTAGTCTATAGTCTAGTCTATAGTCTAGTCTATAGTCTAGTCTATAGTCTAGTCTATAGTATAGTCTAGTCTATAGTCTAGTCTATAGTCTAGTCTATAAGTCTAGTCTATAGTCCTAGTCTATAGTCTAGTCTATAGTCTAGTCTATAGTCTAGTCTATAGTCTAGTCTAGTCTTATAGTCTAGTCTAGTCTATAGTCTATAGTCTATAGTCTATAGTCTATAGTCTAGTCTAGTCTAGTCTAGTCTAGTCTAGTCTAGTCTAGTCTATAGTCTAGTCTATAGTCTAGTCTATATTCTAGTCTAGCTATAGTCTAGTCCTAGTCTATAGTCTATTAGTCTAGTCTAGTCTATAGTCTAGTCTAGTCTAGTCTATAGTCTATAGTCTATAGTCTATAGTCTATAGTCTATAGTCTATAGTCTATAGTCTATAGTCTAGTCTAGTCTAGTCTATAGTCTAGTCTATAATCTAGTCTATAGTCTAGTCTATAATCTAGTCTATAGTCTAGTCTATAGTCTAGTCTATAGTCTAGTATATAGTCTAGTCTAGTCTAGTATATAGTCTAGTCTATAGTCTAGTCTATAGTCTAGTCTATAGTCTAGTCTATAGTCTAGTCTATAGTCTAGTATATAGTCTAGTCTATAGTCTAGTCTATAGTCTAGTCTATAGTATAGTCTATAGTCTAGTCTATAGTCTAGTCTAGTCTATAGTCTAGTCTATAGTCT